CCTCTTGGTACAGCTCTCCTGTATATTCATAAACCAAGGCTTCTAGCACAAGCTGTCACTGTCATCAGGTAATATGGATTCTGAGCACAAAGTAATGCTCAGACAGATAGAATTCAAAGCCTGTGTTCTCCAGGAATATGCCAGCTGAAGGTGTAATGGGGCAGATTCAAGGAAATTAAACCTGATTAAATTTACTTGAAGGGAAGACCCCTGTGTTCAAATTTCTGGTTTTGTTGCTCTCCTAGACATACTCCAACCAAGTACCAGGCATGGAGATAACCTAGAACCCCTGCACAGATGTAGCCCATGGCAGTTTAGTGTCCAAGTGGGTTACATAGTAATGGGAAGAGGGACTGCCTCTGATATAATCTGATCGGCCTGCTCTTTAATTACCTCCCCCTGAGGGGGAAGCAGCCTTACCAGGCCACAGAAGATGACAATGCAGCCACTCCTGATGAGATCTGATAGACTAAGATCAGAAGGAAGGAGAAGAGGACCTCCCCTATCAGTGGACTTGGGGAGGGGAATGTGTGAAGAAGAGGGTGGGAAGGTTGGATCGGGAGGGGAGGAGGAAGGGGCTTATGGGGGTATACAAAGTGAATAAAGTGTAATTAATAAAAATAAAAAATAAAAAAATTCACTTGAAGGAGACCAACACTACCAAGAGAAAGCAAAGGCAGCAAAGGAAAGTGACGGGCATCAGCAAGGCCAGAGAAATTGGGGAAAAAGAATGGCCCTTGGGCATCTCTGATGGAACTACTGAGAAGTCGCTGGTGGGAAGAGTTCCACAAAAGAGTGAAAGTCAGAATAGGCCCAAGATGGATTTAAAAGAGAATGGAAAGACCCTTCAGGAAACCCTGACTGAGAGAGTGTCCAAACCGATCAGTCCTTTGGCTTCAGGCTGTGTCCTTCAATCACACGGGGATAGCCCTGTGGCTGAAAGGAGAAAGTGTGCCCTTCTCATGTGGGCGGTAGAGGCTCTGCAAAACAAGTTCAACCCAGGGAACAAAAGATAAAGCTGAAAAAAAAAAAGCCCATCTATTTGTTATTCCTTTCTCCTAATATGATCCCTTTTTCTCTCAGCCAAGAAGCAAACAAAGGAAGGGCAGGAAGTACTGCCCAATCCACTTCTGGAAATCAAAGGCCTTATCCTCACCATTTGATGCATGTAAATCTGTATGTTTTATGAGAATATGGAATGAAGTACCAGCTGACACAGACAAGGTCAGCCTGAAGCAGCCCCCTGGGAGACATCTGTCAATGTTTTTCTTTGTTACAGTTAGGTGGGGCTGCTTCAGGGGCTGTGGAACCTGTCTTCTCTATGGAAGACAGCTTCACATAAACAGGAATTATTTGATGCACAAGGAAAACAATGTCATTTGAGCAAACCTAGTGAAGGCCGCAAAGCCCAGCGCTGTTCCAGTAATATTCAGCACAGCCATCTTAGGTTTATTCTGCCTGAGGACTTCCTTTCATAGTAACTTTGAAATCTTTTTTTTTTTTTTTTTTTTTGCTTGCTCTCCCATTAGGATTCTCCAGTGACATTTTTTTTAAACTCACACAATCTAATATTTAATCTTCTTTTTGCCAACTTTTTCTATACTTCAAGGTCCAAGAGACACCCACATTTTTCAAACTTAAAGTTCTCTTCCTGCTCAGATTCCTACAGTGTATAGGGTCTCTATGGCACATGTCCCATGAGCTCATGTGATGTCACCTGGCATGCTGGCATGTGCAGGGCTGGTTCTGTCAAACTGTGAGCACCAAAGTGGACACAGACTGTCAGCCAACCTCCAGCCCTTTGCTAATAATTTAAATTATTAAATGCCCAAAGCAAAGCCCTCAGATGGATAACATTTCCTAAATTATAACTTAAGTAAAAACCAACATCAGCGTGAAAATAAGAACTTGCTTTCCACACATGTCCTCAGTTGAGGGTTCCCCTACGGCCATATCTTCTGGGCCATTTGCCATGGGCAACAGTCATCATCACAGTTGTGTGTGAGTGGCTCAGATTCCCGAACCCCAATTTTTGGTGTTGCAACTCTATAACCTTTAAATATTACAAATAGATGGTATTCAGACTGACACTGAAATGATAGTCACTAATGTAAGAAAGATTAAACTCCACCAAGCAAAGGAGGGGTAATCCAGGACCTCAGCAAAGCCCAAGCATCCTGCCTTCCTCTGCACACTGTCACCTGTAACCTTCATAGAGGTAGGATGTGATGGCACGACACCAATGGCCCTGAGGCTCAGCTTCAACCATCCTGGGAAAGGTCATTGTGTTTATTTTGTGTGTACTGATGCTATAGTGTCTGAGGGCCTTAGCACCTCTAGACAGTCTTTCCCTCCAGGAGTGGCTGGCTTTTAAAGACAGCAAACTCCTCCTAAAAATTCATTTCTCAAAGGAAACTAGCTGATGCAGTACCCCAGCCCATCATCTTCCCATCTTTCCTTTAAACTAGGATCACCACACACCTAATTATCTGTGCCCCATACCTCATAGTCTGAACTGTGTCAGCTGTTTCCAGTAGCAACATTGAAGGCCCCTGCACAAACATGTCTAATGATATTAACTGTTTGCAGTGTGATGTTCATGCTCTCCCATATGGACTGTGTGGCCCCTATTTTGGAAAAATTGAGCCACACATTATTTTTAAAATGGTGTTGCTTTCTGATCTATAGAGCTTTTAAAGCTGTGGAACAAAGAAAGTGGAGGTCTGAGCAAATAACAGGGTGAGACTCAGTGTCTAGCTAATGGTAGAAGAATGGGTATGTATTGTTAGGGGACCTTCTCCGATTATTGGGTGAATGTGGGCTGTGCTTAGATTCCAGGGAAAGAAGTCATATGTACTTGGTAGGAGGGATGATAAGGAGACCAGTGGGACACTATGTATAAGGCTGAACTACAGACAAAGGATAGGCAGGAAAGTCAGTGCCACACACTAAGACAGGGAGATATCCCTGCTCCTGGGATCTGCCCCTGCAAAGTCAGAGAAGTGGAATTGGGATGTGAAGAGTGAGCTCTTTGCTCCCTGCAGAATGTTACTGATATATCATTTCCCTTTATTTCCAAGGATGGAGAAGAAAGGGCCCATATATGAGTTTCTGTTCTCCACATCAAATTTACATGGTGTTACTGATTCCTAGGAATAGAAATCCAGAAGCAATCCCTTGTGGGGTTTTTTTTTTTATCAAAATAGTATTTGCATGTGATTATTTTGATTATTATTATATTACAGGAGAACATAAACGGTATACTTAAAAACTGTATTAACTTTGGTGGCTATACTACAAAAAAGGTTTTGCTAAATAAATTCTGTAGTTTATACTCACCAACAATTCAGCCTCAACCTACAACTCACATTATCAGTACCAAAATTTATAATGGGTGGACACTGTTAAGGCCGCAGAGGGTTTCAGCAGGCAGATGGCTCTTTCTATGGGCTTCTTACCCGTGATGCCTGTGGCCAGCTTTAGCAAAGAAGCAAAAGGCAGGCAGCTGAACTTGAATATAAATCATCTGACAATCAGGAAAGGGCTATAAAGCTTTATACAAGCATTGTATAGGTTAGAGAGTGTGAAGTTATTTGTTTGATGATGCTTAGTAAAAATAAGCAGAACACATAGTGACAATAGCTTATAATAGGTTTATTTCCCAAATGTGTGGTCATAAGTATAAAAACCAGCAAGGTGGACCCTCCTTATACCACAGTGCCTCACTTGGAGCCACTAGAAACACGGCACCCACCCCTCATGTGCTATTTCCATCCTGAGAGATATGGCTTCCATAAAGTAAAGGCGGTTACACATTATAGGTGTGTATACACACATACACAGTAGGTACATATAACTGCCAAGAATGTTGCATAATTCTAACCTAAAAATACTAAATGGAAATATTTATCAACATAAGAGACCATGTTACTCTATAGAAAAAAAGAGAGAAGATCCAGATGGGAGGAACTGGGAGAAATAGAGAAAGGGGAAAGTGTAAGCGGGATACATTGTATAATAAAATAAAATAAACTATTTTCAATAAAAAGGTGAAACATATTAGATTCCTCTGTATAAAAATTACATTTAAACAATTTAAAAGAAATTACAAAATTATTCAATGGAGCTAGAGAGATGTCCCCGAAGTCAAGAGTTCTGACTACTCTATCAGAAAACCAGGGTTTGGATCCTAGCACCCACAATGCATGGCTCACCAAAACCTATAACTCCAAGTCCAACAGACCCAGTGTCCCTTACAGCCTCCATAGACACCTTCACACACCCTTACACACACACACACACGTACACACACACACAGAAAAAGAATATAAAAATCATTCAAGTCATTCCAAAAGACGAGAACTTACAATAAGATATGAAGTGTTCTCAGACACTTGTAAGAAAATAATTAAACTTCCAAGGAGTGAATAAAAGAAGTACGTCGGGAAATGATTAATGTGGGGAAGATCTAATGGATTCATAAACCCAGGAAAAAGTCTGTAGGTCTTCACCAGCCATAACAAAGAGGACGCACAATGACCGTTTCACCCCCTATGTCCTCAGACACCTTTCTCAGCATACATCTTGTGTTGTAGCAGTCACTCTGACATGCTCTGGCTGTGGCGAGGTGTATATTGGGATCACCTTTTCATGAAGCACTCTGTGAGCAGGGAGGTCATTTTTTTTCCCTCTAGACTTTATCTGGACCCCCTAATCATCTTCTCCTCACTCTTTTTTTTTTGTCAAAACAATGAAAGCACAGTGCCTCCTGGGAAAAAGGAGGCAAAATGTTTTAAAGAAACTGCCTGGGAATTGCTGTGTCTTTGACTTGATAATTACAGTTATTTTAACTGTCCCTAAGCTTCCTAAGACCTTCATCTACTACTGGATGTCAGGAGAAATTATTTGGACCAAACAGTTTGGAAAGAGCCTTTGTTACAACAAGGCATCATGCTGCTGAGTTGACAGGAAACATTGAAACAGACAAAGAGACTCAATACCTGTTCTTGATGTGCTGTGGGGGCCCGAGACACTGGAAGCTGCCATCCACCATTATTGCCAGCCTGGTACACAGAGCCTCACACTCTTCCATGCTGTGAGGAAATAAACAAGTAGAAATGAGCCATGTCCTAAAGGTATAAGCCCTGTTCAAGCTTCAGACATAAAAAGGAAGCAAAAATTCCATTGGTCCAAATTGTATAACTTTTACTATAGCACACTCATGAAAAGGAAATAACATGCTTTAAAGATTCCTAAGATTTTATTTAGGTGGGCAATTACATCATGAAATTGTTGGGATTTATGTGCCTGGGAGAATAATCATTAATAAAAATATAGGTGACAGCTATTTAGCAATCCTCAGAAATATAATATATTCGTACAAGAGATCTTAAGAAATATGTTGTTTCTTTATAATGAAAATTAGATAACTTTATTGACAAGAAAAATTGAAATCTCAAATCAATAAAAAGAAAAAGAGTGAATATGTTGAAAATAAGAAAATGTTATAACAAAAATGAATATAATATGACTCCTCTTTATTCATAATCCAATACAAAGTGGTCAGCCTGGAAACCATGTACACACAAACAAGAAAATGGACTCACAACTTATATTTACATATTTGTGGAAACATGTACATAACATGTATGAACGCATCAATATTAACCAAAGAAAAATAAGCAAGCAATTTGAGAATGAGTGGGATGACATGAGAGAGGCAGGAAGGAGGAAAAAAAAAGGTGGACAGTGAGGCAATTCTATTTTAATAAATGTAGCAGGGTGTGGTGGCACACACCTGTAATCTGAGTACTCAGGGAGGCAGAGGCAAGCAGATCACTGTGAGTCTGAGGTCAGCCTGGTCTATAAAGCAAGTCCAGGACAGCCAAGGATACACATCTATAAAGCAAGTCCAGGACAGCCAAGGCTACACAGAGAAACCCTGTCTCAAAAAAAATGTAAAAAAAAATGTAAAAGAATAACATTTCATTAAAGCAAAGACCTCACAATTTTAAAAATATCTATTTTAATAGTATTTTAAATGTGCAATAAAATACTAGAAATAAACTTTTAAACTGTAAGTATAATTTAAACTATAAGATTATTTTAATATTCAGTATAGGATTTAAATATTTATAATTCATAATCATAACTATGATTTGTAAATTATAATACACAGATATAATATGATACAAGTCAAAATGCAATCACCTCTATGAAAGTATTGAAAACTTTAACTTTAAAAATTACTTAGGAAGGACACTGTAGGAAAAGTTGTGAGGGAAGACAGCACTAGAAAAGGTTGTTACACTGATGAATTACAAAAAGCAAGCACATTAATTCATACCAGAGAAGTGTCATTAGAACAAAAGAGGCCCAAGTATAGCCTAGGTAGTAAAAATACAGTAATAATTTGTTTATGGGGATGCACTTTCTAAATGTAACAATATAGAAGACATTCTAGAGGAGAGAGGTGTTGATATACTTGACAATTCAAAATCCCAGTCTTCTAACAGGAGTGTCAGAACACAGCGAACTATCTTTCAAAAGAGACTGGAGAATATGGAATGTCCGTGTTATACCCTTTCTCCCAAGGTTTGAGGATCATTATGGAAGATGGCAAAGATGGTAAGAGCCAGGGGAGGTGACTGCAAGGAAATAGTGTCTTCCAGATACGAAGGAACAGTTGTACCTATGAACTCATAGTGATTACAAATACCTGTGAAACCCTAAGGCAGACGAAATGCCAGCATGGAGGGGAAAGTGGGCATGCAGCCCTACTCCTAACTAACAGGTTTCTTTTAATGGCGTAGCCCTGAGTAAGTCAGCTATGCTCCAGAAGATGGCCAGACTCCCAAAACTATAAATAGGAGTAACTGGGCTTAACAGATTAAACAAAATTGAAGACACGAAGTTGGACAGGTAAGAAAGGTGGATATCTGGGGGTATTTGGGAGGACCTGAAGAACGAACATGAGCAAATCCACTGTCTGGAATTCTCAAAGAATCAGCCACTCCTGATGAGATCTGACAGATTAAGATCAGAAGGAAGGAGAGGAGGACCTCCCCTATTAGTGGACTTGGGGAGTGGCATGCATGAAGAAGGGGGAAAGAGGGTAGGACCAGGAGGGGAGGCGGGAGGGCCTTACGGGGGGATACAAAGTGAATAAACTGTAATTAATAAAATAAATAAATTTAAAAAAATAAAAAAATTCAATTTAGCAAACTAAATAGTACTAAACAATTAAAATAAATCAACAGACCGTGAACTGTTCAATCCCCATTTCTTTGTTGTAAAGCACCCTTTATAAATAAAGTACCCTTTATTCCGCTATAAATGAACATAATGAGTTGTCAAATCAAGAAAGTACCCAGTTGGCTATACACATTCTCTCAGAATTTCAAATCAAGTCATCTCATATGGAGACAGTGGAAAAAATGCCACATCTTTTAGAAAATCATATATAGCAGTGATTCCTATTCTATGAACTACAAACAGGAAACTTCAAGTTATGCAACAACTTATTTATGTCACCTCTAGTGAGAACTTCTGCTGGGAACCTAAGGAATTCCATGCCCTGCAGGGACCTCAACTCAGGTCTGTTCTTCCCTTGACTAGACAACAGGAAGGAATCTGAGGTGAATCACAGTGAAGCAAAAGAGAAAGTATGTCAAGTAGACAGGCACACAGAAAAGCCAGTTCACTCTGAATACCTCACAGTTATCTCTGGAGAGTCCTACTTAAGTGTCTCACACTGGAACATCTGTGATTCTGTGGTATTCAACCCTGCACTGCTCAACACTCATTTTCTTTTCTTTTGATTTTTTTTTATTAATTACACTTTATTCACTTTGTATCCCCCCATAAGCCCCTCCCTCCTTCCCTCCCAGTCCCACCTTCCCTCCCCGTTCTTCACGCATGCCCCTCCCCAAGTCCACTGATAGGGGAAGTCCTCCTCTCTTTCCTTCTGATCTTAGTCTATCAGATCACATCAGAAGTGGCTGCATTGTCTTCTTCTGTCAACACTCATTTTTAAAATTTTAAGTAGTATTTAAAAGCTTAAGTAAGAAGAGCTTAATATTTAATCCAAGTTTGACTTTAACATATGCTTACCACATTTCTGATTGTGTTGTGGGAAGAACACAGAGTCATTTCTATACTACTATCTTTTCTTTTACTTTTTTATTAACTACAATTTATTCACTTTGTATCTCAGTTGTAGCCCCCTCCATCACACCCTCCCAATCCCATCCTCATTCCTTCTTCTCCTCCCATGCCCCTCCCCAAGTCCATTAATAGGGGAGGTACTCCTCCGCTTCCATCTGACCCTAGCCTATCAGGTCTCATCAGGACTGGCTGCATTGTCTTCCTCTATGGCCTGGTAAGGCTGCTCCCTCACACTCAGGGGGAGGTGATCAAAAAGCCAGCCACTGAGTTCATGTCAGAGACAGTCCCTGTTCCCCTTACGAGGGTATATACTTGGACACTGAGCTACATATGTGCAGGGGTTCTAGGATATCTCCATGCATGGTCCTTGGTTGGAGTATCAGTATCAGAAAAGACCCCTGGGCCAAGATTTTTGGTTCTGTTGCTCTCTTTGCAGAACTCCTGTCACCTTAGGTCTTTCATCATCCCCTTCTTTCATAAAATTCCTTTCACTCTGCCCAAAGTTTGGCTATGAGTCTCAGTAGCTGCTTCAATACCCTGATGGGTAGAGTCTTTCAGAGGCCCTCTGTGGTAGATTCCTGTCCTGTTCCCTGTTTTCTCCCTCTTCCCATGTCCATCCCATTTGCCTTTCTGAATGAGGATTAATCATCTTACCCAGGATCCTCCTTTTTGCTTAGCTTCTTTAGGTGTACAGACTTTAGTATGCTTATCCTATATTATACGTCTAATATCCACTTATAAGTGAGTATACACAATGTATGTCTTTCTGCTTCTGGGAGACCTCACTCAGGATGATCTTCTCTAGTTCCACCATTTTCCTTCAAATTTCATGATTTCCTTGTTTTTAATTGCTAAGTAGTATTCCATTGTGTAAATGTACCACAATTTCTGTATCCATTCCTCAGTTGAGGGATACCAGGGTGGTTTCCAGATTCTGGCTATTACAAACAAAGCTGCTACGAACATGGTTGAGCAAATGTCCTTGTTGTATACTTGAGCAACTTTTGGATATATGCCTAGGAGTGCTATTGCTGGATCTTGAGGAAGCACTATTCCTAATTTTCTGAGAAAGTGTCAGATTGATTTCCAAAGTGGTTATACAAGTTTACATTCCCACCAGTAGTGGAAAAGTGTTCCCCATTCCCCATTCTCCACACCCTCTCCACACTCTCTTAGCCATTCTGATGGGTGTAAGGTGAAATATCCAGGGTCATTTTGATTTACAGTTCCCTGATGACTAAGGATGTTGAACATTTCTTTAAGTGTTTCTCTACCATTCAATATTCCTCTATTGTGAATTCTCTGTTTAGCTCTGTATCCCCATTTTTTAATTGGTTCTACGCTACTTTCTTAAAATGCACTTGGACAAGTGGAGGTCTGCATCGTTATCAGCATGAGTTCCAACCTCAAAGTAAATGATGTTGCAGGTCTAAATGAATTGTATCACATGCTAAACCTTTGAACTATGAAGCATGTGGATACAACAAAATCTAAGACCAGAGCTCAAAGGAAAGAATTTAATTTGATTGTCTTTCATAGTAATAAGAGTATATAAAGCCTGAAAGTACTAACCATAAAATCAACCATGGTCATTTACTTAAAAACAAGGTAAGCCTGGACTTTCTTCCCTGGATGGCTATCATCCTGCCTGGTACAGATATGTGGTGAGGTGAGATTGTGACTTAAAGGTTGCACTGGAATGCCGGCATTAGCATTGGACATATGAATGTCCTTCCTAGGATGTACTGGTTCTCAATCCTCCTCTTCTCCATTTTTGAGCCATGTTTTCCCAAGATACTGTGTGTCAAGGAATACATAGAGAAAAACATTGCATTAAAATCACAGAATCGTAACTAATAAGAAAAAAATAAAATTAAAAAAAATCACAGAATCATACAGGCCTCCCTCATCATTTTTCATGTCTTTATGTTGTATGATGAGGGAGAAATCAACTATGTATATATGTAAATGTATAATATTGGTGTGAAAGCAAATGAATAGTAGAATTTAGGAGAGAAATCTCTATGATATGTGGTGTTTTTGAGAGAACGGTTATGATAAATATATGTAAATATATTTATATATATATATATTTATATATATATATATATTTATATATATATAAATATATATATATATTGTAAGTACTAGAAAGAATTTTCATCATTATATCATTTAACCCATCTAAGGACCCATAGTTGGACATCAAGCCTCCAGCCTGGAACCAGCAACAGAGTTAAGCTACCAGTGTGCAATTGCTAAAATTCCAGAGCAATGTGAACATTCAAAGCAAAACTATAAACGCATTATTATCAAGTCAAATAACTATCAAATTTGTTTCAGCAAAATTTTCCTTTGGGAAGAGAAACAGAGAAAAACCAAAAACTCAGCTGTGGTATTTCTGGCTACATCTGAGTGAGAAAATTATTAAATAATTGACCCCAAAGCCAACTACAAATTGGACATATTTTAAAAACCAGCCTTTTAAGAACTCCAGGATTGGACAATGACACATAGGCATGTAACCCAGTGAGGACAATGCCAAAAAGCCACTGCACCATGAGAAGATAATAATCTGTGCTCTGTAAACTGCGGGCCACTCTCCCCTTGCCCAGCTTCAACAATGGGCCACTGGGGGCGGGAGAGGAGAGGCCATGAGATGAGCTGAAGAACTCAACAGAAACCTATGCCCAGTTTCAAGTTGGGAGAGGGAAGAATCAGAGGGCCTGAAGGTCCTTAGGAATTATCCAATCTTGAAACAAATTTCAGGGAAAGAAAATGAAACAAAAACAAATACTAAAATATGGCTATAACTGCAAACTTGTTTTCAATGTTCAGAGATGCAATATCATTTAATATGCCCATTCTTCAATAAAAGGTTACACAGAAAATTAGACTATCCTCCCTGTTATCATTCCCTGTTATAGGCAATCTAAGGGCTTTCTAATAACTTTTAAATGATACAAATCACAAAGAATTTTTCCCCAAGGCTAACATAGAGAAGTTCAAAAGGACCAACAGAAAGAAACTAGGAAAATTTCCAAACAAAGCCAACAAATCTGGGACCAAGGGGTCCCACAGATACTGATGCTCCAACCAAGGACCATGCATGGAGAGGATATAGACCCCCTGCTCAGGTGTAGTCAATAGGCAGCTCAGTCTCCAGGTAGGTTCCCTAGTAAGGGGAACAGGAGCTCTCTCTGACATGGACTCTGTTCTCTGCTCTTTGATCACTTCCCCCCAGCAAGGTTGCATTGCCAGACCACAGAAGAAGAGGATGTAGGCAGTCCTGAAGAGACTTGATAGCCTGGAGTCCAATGGTAGTGGAGGAGGGCTCCCCTTGGACTAAGGGAGAAAGATAAGGGGTATGAGGGAGGGAGTGTGGGATTAGGAGGAGACAAAGGAGGGGGCTACAATCGGGATATAAAGTAAATAAATTGTATCAAGAGTAAAACACAAAGGAGACTAGAAAACATTTTTGAGTGGAAGAAAACTTCAGTAGGAGAGGGAAAAGGCTGGAGAATGGGCATTGCTTATTGGTGGAGCCTCGAAAAAAGCCCTGGAATTGGAACGGTGGTGTGTACTGAGTACAGAAGCACATCCCAACAAGAAAGAGGGTCAGTGCCCATCACAGCGAGCCAATTTCCCACAACACACCTCCAATTATGTGATAGGGAATGAGTAGTTTTACCACAAAACAGTTCTGGAACAACTGGATATCCACATATGTAAGAGTATGTTGAGACTCTTTCCTTATGCTATCTGTAAAATAGCTTTAAATATAGCAAAGATTATTAAGACCTAACAGTACTAACCTGTCTTAGGATAAACATTCTCATGTATTGGGCGGAAAAAGTTCTTAACTATAATATTGAAGTGCAAACCACAAAAACAGAGAGCAGTTAAAATTAATAAAAATCTTTAAATATTCGTATTTACAGACACAGACCAAGAGAAAACATTTGCCATCATATACCCAACAAGAGATTTTCATGCAGGATCTAACACTACTATGTATAACCCCTTCTAACTAAATAATATAGTATAAATATAAGTTCACAAAAAATATAACAAGAAAGGACTGGTACTGTGGACCTTGTGAAAAGATCCTTAGTCCCACTGACTTGGGAGTCTAAGATACAATTTTAAGTTCATCCTGAACTATGAAGGAAATTGAAGGGCTGCCTGGGCAACTTTGAGGAAGAGCCTGAAAATAAGAGGTAAGAGGGACAGAGCTATAGCTCAATGGCAAAACACTTGCCTAGTATGTGTGAGCCTCTGGGTTCAATTTGTATTACCACCAAAGGAAAAAGAGTTTCTCCGCAAGTCAAACATGAGCTCACTGCCCAGGCCAACAATCAAGCTGCTTGGCATTTATTCAAAAGGTCTGAAAAACATCCACATAAAAACCTGCACATGGATGTTTATAACAGCTTTACTCGTAATTACCCAAACTTGTCAGTAATCAAAGCATCTGTCAGTACGTGAGCAGATAAATAAACTCCAGCACAGCCAGACAATAGAGTATTGCTCGCTCTTGAAAGGCAATCGGCTTGCAAACCAGGAGAAAACGTGAAGGAAATAAGGAGGAAAAAAAAGCCAGCTTTGGAAGGCTTTGGAGGAGTCCAGATGTGTGACTTCTGGAAAAGGCACAACTACAGAGGCAATAAAATGAATACCAGGGGTCAGGAGAGGCAAGGGAACATTGGAACCTTTTCAGGCCATGTGTGAAGTCAGGATGGATCTTGAGATTGTGTACTTTTCCAAAGCCATGGAATGCGCAACACCAAGAGGATAGGCACTGCAAGCATGTATTCGGATGGCGCTACTGTGTGTCTCTGAGGGTTTACTCACTGTAGCCAAGTCTGGATAAATGCACCTACATGTTATGGATGTGGGTGCACAGTGAATCTTTTTATGTCTGTTTTTTAATCTTGTGTGAGTGTTGTTGTCTGTGTCTAACTATGGGCAGGTGCATGTTTGTGGCATGCTTATGGAGGTCAGAGGACAGCTCTTAGGGGTTGTTTCTCTCCTCCAACTGTGGGTTTGGGAAATCAAACCTGGGACTTCAGACTTGCCCAGGAAGTGCTTTTACCCACTGAGCCATAGTGCCAGCCCTATTTCTTAAAGTGCTAGTCATGCGCTGTGTGGCAAGGATAAGGAAGAAAGTACTGATATATGTAATGCCTATAATTATATGCTGTAACTACTAATACATGCTATGAGCATGAGCATTGTGCATTCTAAAAGTGGAAGTGGTGAGGTAAAAACGTGTACATGTTATACAATTCTATGAATACAAAATGCCCCAGTCAAATTCCAGATCTTAACAGTTCTTGACGCCTTAGACATAGCATATTTTAGTTATACATAGAAGCAAAATCAAGCCAAACCTCATAACCGATTTTCATTTCATCTTCAGGGTTGTCATTAGCCAAATGCTATTGCTCTCCGTGTAATAGTTTCATGAAATCTACATTTGTATTGCTGCATGGCACATAAGTGTTTCATTAAGCTGAGAGGGGGACTCTGGTGGAGAATTCCAAACACAAAATTAAGTCTGTAATGAGATCCAGTAACAGGTTGGGCATGCATTTCAGACGATTTACAGGTGGGAACAGGGGACCCCTGGGTGCAAAGAAGTCAGGGATCCTTAAGAAGAGCAGACAGAGTCTGAGAAATGACAGCTAGAAAGGATGTGTGGACACAGATCATGAAAAGGCTCCAGTTCTATCTCTGTTTCTCTGTTGTCATTGGCCACCTGGCATAACCTCTGCTTTAGTCTCACAAAGGGCTCCAGAGACTGAAGACTAATGAAGGCACTTCTGTTCCATTCTCTAGGTGACCTTATTGCTACCAAGCCTTGTTCAGAAACTGGCAATCAGAGGGGACAGTTCACCTGTGAGAGGTTAGCACCGCAGCACAGCCATCCCGAACCTCCTGCGTTACTGTTTGCCACAGATACCGCTTAGAGCACGGGTCCATCCCAGAGCTGGGTTCATCCTAAGAGGAAGAAAACACACAGTGATGGTCATTTGGTAAACACAGACAGGAATGGGCATCTACCATCACATGATTATGGACACTGGCAGGGTGGAAATCCTCACTGTAATACGAACAGGCAACTCTCCATTGGCTTCCCTTCTCTCCTACACATTCAGGACACAGAGGGAAGGGAAGTGATGCATGAGATCCTGGTTCTTTCACTTCTGCAGAGGATCACACAAAAGCCTTAATTATTATAACTAATTACAATGCTTCTCATTATACCTTAGTTATTGGCATCTTTGGTCCTGGGAAATGCTTGGTGATGTTAGGAAGAGCAAAGACAGGCTAAGGACCAGACTCTACATGCTGTGAGGACTTGATTAAGCCCCTCTTAAATAGTATGTAGGGTCCAAGCACTCTGCATGTCTCAGAGGCCCTTTGTGTTGGTGGGTGTCTGAGGTTATGTGGATAGCAAACAGCAATTCTCTCACAAATAACCATCATGATTTTACAGGACAAGAACACACAAGAATGAATATATGGGGAATTGCCTTACAAAAGTAGACAGAAAGTTCTTAGAAAGTTCTTTCCAAAACTCTGTGTGCTTAAAAAAGACATATAACCCTAAGAATTTACATACACCTGCCACAGATAGCCAAAATTCTAAATATACATGTGGAATTGTCCCAGAGTCATTCATCTGACTGCCTGATGAAGGTATCCTTCCAAAAGTAGTTATGAAGACAGGCCTACAAGATGAGTGCTTCAGATCTGAGAGAGCAATGAAGGATTCCATGCAACTATCATGGTATCAAATGCACACAGTAACAACCTCAGTGTAATGAAGAATTGGGAGTTGAGTGACAAGATTAGAAATTATTATCTTCAGAAATTCCAGTGAGCTACAAGAAATTACAACTAGAGAAGCCAAGTGCATCAGAAAACAATATGAACAAAACGGTGGTTGTAAAAGAGATGAAAATCAGGTATGAGGCACTAATAGTAATTCTGAAGCAGAAACTTCAGTGAGTAAAACAATGAGTATACACTTTCTCAACCAATTAGGAACAGTGCTTCCTCAAGATCCAGCTATACCACTCCTAGACATATATCCAAAAGATGCTCAAGTACACAACAAGGACATTTTCTCAACCATGTTTGTAGTAGCTTTATTCATAATAGCCAGAACCTGGAAACAACCCAGGTATCCCTCAATTGAGGAATGGATACAGAAATTGTGGTACATTTACACAATGGAATACTACTAAGCAATTAAAAACAAGGAAATCATGAAATTTGCAGGCAAATGATGGGATCTAAAAAAGATCATCCTGAGTGAGGTCTCCCAGAAGCAGAAAGGCACACGTGGTATATACTCACTTACAAGTGGACATTTGACATATAATATAGGAAAATGTACTAAAATCTGTACACCTAAAAAGCTAATCAAGAAGCAGGACCCTCGGTAATATGAAAAATCCTCACTCAAAAAGGCAAACAGGATGGACATCGGAAGAGGGAGAAAACAGGAAACAGGATAGGAGCCTACCACAGAGGGCCTCTGAAAGACTCTACCCAGCAGAGTGTTAAAGCAGATGCTGAGACTCTAGCCAAACTTTAGGCATAGTGCAGGGAATCTTATCAAAGAATGGAGAGATAGAAAGATCTGGAGAGGACAGGAACTCCACAAGGAGAGCAAGAGAACCAAAAAAATATTAGCCCAGGGGTCTTTTCTGAGACTGATATTCCAACAAAGGACCATGCATAGAGATAACCTAGAACCCCTGCACAAATGTAGCCCATGGCAGCTCAGTGTCCAAGTGGGTATGCTAGTAAAGGGAACAGGGGCTGTCTCTGACATGAACTCAGTGGCTGGCTCTTTGATCACCTTCCCCTGAAAGGGGAGCAGTCTTACTAGGCCATAGATGAAAACAATGCAGCCACTCCTGATGACACCTGATAGGATAGGGTCAGATGCAAGGGGAGGAGGACCTCCCCTATCACTGGGTGTTGGGAGGGTGGGTGGAATTGGGAGGAGATGAGGGAAGGGGCTACAGCCAGGATACACAGTAAATAAACTGTAATTAATATAAAAAAGAAAAATTAAAATTAAAAAAATTAATGAGTATAACAGAGTTTCTGCTAAATAATGAAGAGGTTATAAATGTAAGCTATTTAAAATTATGTAATCATTGGAGAAAGAGGAAAATATTGAAAAGTACTGAAGAAAGCATTCACATGGGGAAAGGGCTGGTCTTGGGCAGTAATAGAGCAAAGGTAAATTAAAACAGTCATTACAGGTCGATGCTGGAGGAAGCAACCACATGGTCATGGGACCCAAAAGATCCACTCCTGTGCACAGAGCCAAAGGCAACGAAATGAGAATGATGGCATGCAGGCATGCACTAACACATCTACTTCATCACTATTCACATCAGTCAATTTGGGGAAGCACCCAACATCAGACTTCATGGATTAAAACTGAGAAGCTCTAGAGAGGGGGACAAAGACACAGGTGCTTTGATGTGGGGTAGGAAAAAAAAAAACGTAGCATGGGGACATGAACTGAGAGGGAGAGGGAAAGAAGGGAGAAAATAAATACTATGGATATTTGAAAAAGACATAGAAAAATATTATTTTATGTTTGTGTGTGTGTGTGTGTGTGTGTGTGTGTGTGTGTGTGTGTGTGTACTCCATTTTTAAGTGAACATGCCCCACAGGGTGATAATGTTACCCTAAGAGCTGTAAACTATCTAACAAAACTGCAGGGTCAGTTCTTGGTTGGTTCCTAGAACTTAAAAGTAAGACACAATTGCTGAAAACAGCATAAATGTTGGGCAGGACTTAGAGGAAGAAAGATGTATCTGCCCTTGAAGCCTCCTCCCCTGAGTATTCCTCCCCTGAGTACTAGCTTTGCTGTGCAAGAGAAAAGTAATTGGCGGTCCTATGCACATGTAAAACCTGTGGACCACAATGACTGTCCTGATAAAATATCTCCAGTGGTGCAATGGTGGCACTTTTGTCAGATTAATTAGACTTAAGGCATTATTCATTGCAAACCTATCCAACTATTCATAGCTAAAAAGAACATAGACCCTAAAAGATAACCTACTACTGCCATTTTTATAGCAATGTAATTTTAACTGTATTCTAAATATTTATCCTTATATTCACAGATAGGTATAGCTCTCATCTTTCAACAAGGAATCTTCGTTTTGGAACGGATGGAGACGATTGCAGAGATGCAGAACTGGTCAATAGAGAGAGAATAAGTGACCCTGGGATGGCTAGCACCAGTTGATACAATCCAATCTACACATAAGACTCAGAAACATCATGTCAGAAAGTAGGGAATATAAGGACCAGAGCACCAGCACCACAGCGCCTGCTATCATACAACATCTTTTAGAAATACAGGGAAGTTGCACCCATAAAATCTTAGCAATGTGATTACTTGTATAATGACCACAGCAGTCTAGATATCAGTGTGGATGGGGAAAATTCCATAAGATTCCACATCTGGATGAAGAGCTACAGGAAATCAATGGCTGTGGACAGAGGAAGAATCCATTTGATCCATAAACTTCCTGATAAGTTATCCAATCCCAAATGGTCAAAAATGGGAAAAAAAATACACATATAAGCAATACAAAAAGGCTCAGTAGTTCGTGTGTGTGTGTGTGTGTGTGTGTGTGTGTGTGTGTGTGTGTGACAATAATAAGTAAAGAGGAAGTCATGAATTCAGTGGGGCATATACAAGGGGAAACAGAGGAAGGAGATCAACTGCACAAAACCTCAAAAACTCATAGAAACAAGGAAAAGAATGGCAGCTTCTGGAGCAGAACATGGTGAAACTGGGTAGACACTTTGGCGGGTTAACAAGTTGGAATCAACTCTGAATTGGAGATTTCCATGGCTGGAATGTTTTGTGCTCTCCAATATACAAGTTGAGACACAATGCAACTGGACTTGGAGAAGGGGTATTGGGGAGTGATTATATCAAGAAGGTTCTATCCTCATGTCCTTGGTTTACCTAAAAATGAGGTCATCCTTTTTCATAGTTGTGACTTCTGCCACATGAAGACACCACATTCCTCCCCTCTAGAGGAGGCACAGTTAAAGCCATCTTAAACATGGATTATCACTAAACACTTATACCTGTAGGTGTCCTAATCCAGGATGCCCAACCTCCGTAAGAGTGAGTGATTCCCTGTTCTCTGAGTGACTGAGCCTGTGATAACCTGATAGTGGGACAAGTGGCCCAACAGGATCTGTAATCGACAACACTGTGTTGTGTGGTTGAAATTTTCTCCTCACCAGCTGATGTCAGTAAGTGAGGTCATTCAACTTGGCTGTGGTCATCATTACAAATGAATGTTTATATTAAAACATCACATTATACACTCTACATTTATGCAGCTGTTATTCATCAATGATGCTTCAATAAGAATTCAGGGAGGGCACATATTTTCACAACAGCCTGGTTTCTCTTGGGGATCTGGTAAGGAAAGCCAAGCATAATGTTTTTAAAATGAAACCTCTACTTCCATAAACTTTCAGAATGGCCTCCACCAGAAAGATATATGATAGTAGAAAAGACATCATTTATTGAAAAGCAGCAAATAAATTGAAGTTTCTTGGAACCTGAAGCTTTCGTCTTCAATAAACTACCAAGTACTTGTTATCTGAACCACTTCTAAGGGAAATCTTGCCCAGCTGTGTGATGCATGTCTGTGCTTTTTGCAGTCAGGGAGCACTAAGCATATATCTCTTAAGAGCTTCTGGCCATCAACTTCCCCCAAAGAGGAAAGCAGAAAGGGAAATGTGGGAGGAACACTGAACAGAAAAACAAACACTTGATTGGTTTGTTTTTTTTTTTTCCTGCAAATCAAGTGATATATGTGCACTGATTAAAGGGTAAGAAAATAAAAAGTGGGATCTGGTTTTGCTCAGCCAGGAGGTTGAGTGTGCGAGTTTAAACTTTCCAGGTTCTTGTTCTTCTTGTCTATGTAGAGAATGTCAAAGGCATTGCTTTAATCAGATGACTTGAACACCATCACAGTAACTCCCAGGTGCCGGGCGACACATTTAATATAGATTACTTAATTTACTGCTTTCAACATCTCCATGAGACAGACACATTAAGAATACTGCTTTGAGACAAAGAGACAACAAGCACAAATGTGCAAGAACACACTAAAGAACTGTAGTGGCCACTTGGCCACTGTGCCAGGGTCTTGGGCACTCTCAGTGAGTGGGAATGAGAATATGTGAAAGAAGAAAAATTTGGGTATAAAGTGATACAAGGAAATGGTTCCGAAGTACAGGCCCCTTCATTGGAATGAAAAAACACACCATAGGTAGATGAGTGAGTGATCATCCAGTCAGAAGCGATGGGTGCTAGGCACCTCTAAACTCAACAGAGCCTCCTTCACCTTAATAGGACAATGTAATAGAACAATGGGGAAAGCTAATATGTGTGTGTGTGTGTGTGTGTGTGTGTGTGTGTCCCATTATAATAAATAAATAGCATTGACATTGGACCACTTAATAGCAAACTAAGAGCAAGCATGGTTTCTGAGTTCCATTCATTAGATAACAAAATCATTTTTTTTTCTAACATAGATCTTCTGGTTCTCCATTAACGTCCTCAGGAAAATGTTTTAATGTGTGAACAATAATATACAAAGATAACTTTTAATGCTCCTGGAACTGTCTTCCAAGGTGCAGCTTTGGATTGACTGTGGTGATTATAATTCTATCAATGACAAAGGAACAATGTTCTTCACTTGTTTAAGTGGAATTGTGAACTGTTAGAGCAATTTTTAAATACACAGCAACTGACACTGTTCATTGATAGCAAATCTTCTCCACCAAGATAAAAGTAACCTGAATTGGCTATTCCCAGACAGATGGTAGGCTGCCTTGATTCAGGCCATGCTCCTACTCTATCACTTGCTAGAACTGCCTCTGCCTACCTCTGTATCCATGTTGCATGGATGTGTTAGAAAGCTTTCCATCACTATACACAATACTTGAGAGAATCATCTTATAAAGAAACAATGCTTTGTCTAGCTTTATTTTAGAGGCCCAATCGAAGACTGACCCCCTTGCTTTTGGTTCTACGCAAAGACAAGTCAGTACATCACAGCAAGTATGTGTAGCTGAGCAATACTTTCTTCTTCGTGGCCAAGTATTGAAAAAGAACCTTCTTACCCATTTAGAACACTCCTGCAATGACCTAAATACCTGCTCAGACCACTTAGAACAATGTTCTCAACCTGTGTGGCCCCTTTGGGTATTGCATATCAGATACCCTGTATATCAGATATTTATATTATAATTCAAAGTAGTAATAAAAGTATAGTTATGAAATAGCAATGAAATAACTTTTTGATTTGGGGGTCGCCACAACATGAGGAACTGTATTAAAGGGTCACAACATTAGAAAGACTGAGAACCACTCTTTTAGAGATTCTACTACCTCTCATATCACTAAAAGCTATGAAAGAAGCTGTTAGTACATGGATTTGGGGAGATGCTAAATTAAACACAGATATTCTGATGCTCATCCTCATTATTTACCATAGGTATGTGTCACTATAGCTTATAATAAATATAAAGCTATAAGTAGACTTCAAAGGAATTTGCCAGGGAAGATATTCACTAGGGAAGATCACACCAATTGGTTATCCAATACCAAATGGTCAGCTCTGAATATGTACATACAGGTAACATACAGATTGATCAAGTTACATTTAAACATATATGTATATATGTATGCATATACATAGATGCATGCAATAACAATTAAAGGGTCATGAATTTAAAAGAAAGCAGGGAGAATATATGGGAGAATTTGGAGGGAGAAAGAAAGAAAGCAGAAATGTTGCAATTTTATTATAATTCCAAAAATAAGTAAACAAAAACTATAAATAAATATTAAAAAGGTAAACAGATATTTGTTTCAGATAAAAGATGAATGCTAGTATTTTAATGTTCATTTAATGTTAACATTTTTATGTAAAACTGCCAAAAGAAAAATTTCTGACTTCTGTAAAATGACACTGGTACCTTACAGTACATTGGGAACTATTCAGTTAGGGGAGCAGAGTCTATTGGTCCATAGACTCAGTGTCACAAATCCTGAAGTCTCTGGAGAAGTTTTGAAAGTTGAAATAATTTTGCATCAGCACAACTCTGGTTTTTCAACCACTCACCAATAAAAGGATGTCAGGCTTCCCCACCAGAGCCAGGGCTGTGGAGAGCTTCCTTCTAGTGCCCCCACTGTAAGTGGCCACAGGTTTGTCCACATGAGATTCAAGGTGCAGGCGTCTCACCAGGTCAGCAGCCACCTGGAAGAGAGGAGCTTATCCATGACGTTACCCACGATGCTCACATGACCAGGGTGTCCCCTGGCTTCTGCTCCCTCCCACCGTGCCAGGAATACTCTCCCACAAGCTGAGGAACAGAGGAGCTCCTCAACCCATTTAACTGGAAAGAATGGGGAGAAAAAGGTTCCATGTCTACGGACACTTAGGATGGCCAAATACAGGTCTGGTAATCTGAGGACTTTGAATCAATGCTCAGTCTAGGTTAATATCCACATTCAGGTGAGTAGAGTAAAGAGGGCCTAAAGGAAGGCTGAGAAGGAGCTGGATAGAAAAGAAAAGAAGAAAGTGAGGCACCAAAACCTCCAGGGCAATGACACTGAAGGAGGGAACTGTCTGTAGTAATATAAGAAAGGGTTATCCCTTTCATCCTGGTAGGCCATGACACCATCTATTCATTCAGTGGTCAGTTAACATTATATCCAGGTTGAGGAAAGATGGGACCAGTTTCCTCTTCACAGCTGTTGGGAACTATCTGATCACGTCACAAGACTATGGTTCATTCAACAAAACTTACATGTATCCTCAGTCACTTGGGTTGGCCTTACCCTCAGGCTCACAGCCTCTCTTCTCTCCACATTCTAATCTGTTTCTTACCACACATCCTGAGAGCCCGCTTACCATCAAATTTTAATGTAAATCTCAGTTCCCCAATGAAAGCTATCAGCTGAAACTCTTTTTTTTTCTTTTGTTTTTATTTTTTTCTTATCAGTTACATTTTATTAACTCTGTGTCCCAGCCGTGTCCCGATCCCTCATTCCCTCCCAGTCCCTCCCTCCCTCCCTCATCTCCACCGTGCCCCTTGCCAAGTCCACTGATAGGGGGGACCTCCTCCCCATTCATCTGATCCTGTTTTATCAGGTATCTTCAGGACTGGCTGCAAAGCTCTCCTCTGTGGCCTAACAGGACTGCTCCTCCCTTAGGGGGTGGGGAGGCCAAAGAGCCAGTCATTGAGTTCCTGTTAGAAATAGTCCTTGTTCCCCTCACTATGGGAAACCAATTGGTTACTGAGCTACCACAGGCTACATCTGAGCAGAGGTTCTAGGTTATATCCATACATGGTCCTTGGTTGAATGTCAGTCTCAGAAAAGACCCTGTGCCCAGATATATTTGGTCCTTGTGGAGCTCCTATCTTTTCCCCATCAGATAGCAGTTTTCAAAGCAAAGACTCATGACCAAACCTTTGGCAGAGTACAGCTGAAACTCTTAAGACTACATTTAGGCTTGTATTCCCCAGAATAATTTGCCCTAAACCACTTCTTTTCTGTCTCCATTTCTGTCTCTTACATGGGACCCAAATTAGATATTTTGTTTGATTGTTTGTTTCCAATTGACTGTAAATTTTTTAAAATAGATATGCTTTATGTCATTCTCATGTAGATTAAAATTCTACAGTAATCAAGGGTTAATGCAGATATAAACGGAGATCTGTTTTTCATATATGATTATATAACCAGCCTAGCAAAAAACATACCTTACTTCAAATTTGGAAGGACAAATTCTATACGATTATGACAGTTGATAATCGTGTTTCATAAGCCACCAACTAAAACAGTGTTAGACTAATGTACATACTTTTTTCTTACAAATATATAAAACTTAGGGTTATAATATGATGATCATGACATATAACAAACTTCAGAGCATCTTCTTTAATGTCTGTATTTGTGTGACTTCAAAGTAATTTGGAAAATGAGCTAAAACACACAAGTCCTGGTCCATGGTTAAATACTGTGAGTTGAGGAAAGAGAAGTCAAGGCCTAAAAGGCACATAGAGACTAAAACTTGAGTATAAAACCATCTCAAGGTCAATCTTTTGTTCTCCGCGAAAATATCCAAGGCCTTTTCCCCAGTCTGCCTCACAGAAAACATCCTTTTTCCTGTATTCATCAGTCAAATTATGCCAATTAAAGTAAATTGAATAAAAGCCCTTTTCAGCAAATAAAAACTTCAAAATATTTTACCCAGGATTAGCAAACAAACACAAACAGCTAATTGGGGTGCTGCGGTAAAGTCTCTGAGACAGAAAGCCTGTGCTGCAGGGATTAGAAACATCCCATGGTGTCCACAGAATTGCAAAGCAAAAGCAGAAGCATGGTCCCAGGTGATGTTCATTTAAAAGATAGAGGCTGGAAGCAGGCTTCCTAGGAGAGAAAGCCTTTCTTTCATTGAGCAACACTGTGGTCACACAGAGAGTTCATGCCTTTGAAAAACACAAACACGAAGAGCTATAAAAGTAGACCAGCAAAAACAAACAGCAATGGGGAAAGTGAAAATTCAGGTTATCTTTTCAGAGTTATGAAAATGTTCAAAATGTACAGGTATTGCAAATGTTTATTATGACATAATGCAGTTTATTCAGACAAGGAATGAAAGCTAGCTAATAAAGGGGAGAAACAAAGCAAAATAATGATTAAAAGCCCTGGCTTTACAGCAATGTGTCCCAGAATAAATACATTTTTAATAAATTTGCCAAACACTGTTGGTTATTTTTATGAAACCAGAAAATGTTTGTCATATTTTTCTAACTTCAGAAAAGGTTAAATAGTGCAGACTACAAATCTCAGAGCAGTTAATCATAGGGAAGATTCCAGAATGTGCAGGAACAAATGTCTGATCTAATGCTCTGTGAATGTCACTTTCAGAAAATAACTGAAATGATCTAATGAGAAGCATCTTGTTGCCATCTTTTCTGCGCCACTATCAAAATAATGGCAAATGTAATGACCTAGAAATCAAGGCTGGCAAAATGCTACCTAGACCCCAAAATGTCAGAAGCCACAAAAATCTTACTGTTATTGTCCCACAATCACAAAATGCCGTAAGTTACAGGATCTTGCACATATTTTTTTCTCTCAGGAAGCTCTAGAAATTATGCCACATTTTGAGATGAAGACCGGGACTTATAATCTTCATTTCCAGGCTGCAGCACATTCAGCACACAGCAGAACTTTGGGAAATATCCTGTAGCCAAAATAGATTGTTCAGAAAAGCATGCACACTCATCAGGTTCCTGAGCCAAAGACTGCCCATATGCAGGTGTGATGCCCGTATCAAAGCTGTTTTGTGAAATTCAAGATGAGAATGAGACATTGACCAGGGAAAAGGAGCCAAAGATTTCCAAGAGAACAAAAATCATGTGACCTTCCCTCTGCCATGACCTCCTACTCAATTCTTCTTCAGTCGAAACTGAACTCTTTTCAAAACCCAACCACAAATAGGAAAACAAAATTTAAGTTGCAACTCATGCCTACAGAAAAGGTGCTTGAAGCAACACCCAGAAGTATTCCAAGAGCAATGTGCAGGTAGTTACAAAGATAGGACCAGTAAAAGACCTACTCCCGCCCTGAAGAAAATAAAAATGCATATTTCACCAGTTTTCATCCCAATTAAAAGTTTTGTTTGGCCATATTATCTCAGGAAATATCAGAAGAGTCTCTTACATATCTTCCATAGCATCCCTGATTATAACTGCATTCCTGAGCCATTTAGTGATGATTTGATACTAGTTTCACCAGACTGGTCAGACTGAATAAAGGCTTAAAATGCACCTGCTACACAAACAGTATAGCATAAATGATAAACTGGAAATGAGCACTTTAACATATGGATCTTAAATCTAAGTCAAACGAAGGGGTAACCTTTTCCGGTTACATCTGAGAGTTACAAGTGTAAACGACAAGATTACGTACATAGCTGGAGCAGATCAGCAAACTTGGAATAGGTGAATTGAGTGTCCTGTACTACAAGCAATACTCAGTACAAGGCTTCGGTTGGAGGGCAGGAGATGAAAATGAGTGGGGGCTGTGAGGGTGAGACAGAAAGGGCTTTTAAGCAAGCATAGGAGGTTTTCTTGAATCATAGGACACGGGTGGCTGTCTATCTTTCCATGGTCGAGATGGAAGCCTGTAAAAGAGAACCAATTTGAGTGGCAGATATATAAGGGAGAAAAATGTTTTGTCTCCAGGGCTCAAGACTTGAATCAGAGGTGTCCTCCTGGGCCCAACTAACTGGAGAACAACGAAAAGTAAATAATTAAGAAAAGCTCCAGGCCAGTCACTCCATACAATTTCTGCTTCCATTAATACACCAAAGCCCTAGAAATATATCTGAGATATCAATGGTGGAAGGTATTTTGTCCTAGTCTGCTAGCAACTGCAGGATGTTGTCAACCAAAAGCCTATGCTCCAGATCTGCTCCCTGACCACTCTGTGCTTCATTTTCTCCAACTGCGGAAACACCTCTTAATTGCTTTGAACAGGATGTGAGACAGACATGCAGAAAGATAGTCATGTGTCACTAAAGGACAGGATACATTCTAGGAAGTGAATTCTCAGAGATTTCATCATTCTGTCATCCTCAAAAAACTTGTTCCCCAATCCTGAGCAGTAGATGTCAATCACTGGACACGGATTTTGTAATCAAGATATATGGTAAATACAAGATGCATGAGGCTGTTTCCAGGGCATGTGTTCTTATAGTAATGTATTTTTGTAAGTACAAGTAAATCTACACAGAAAAAAACAAAAATAAAAATATTATAGTATAGCAAATATATAAACCAGCAATAGTAAAGCATTATGCACAGCAATCATTGATACAGCTGATGGCAGAGGCTTGTTATTACCACGACAGTCACACAGGTGAAATGCTGTGATGAAATTGTTAAGGTAGGTGTAATGTTATAAAACTATTGTGATTTTTCATGACAATTCTGAATCCCCACCATTATGGGATCCATGGTGGATGAAGCATTAAGATATGGTTTCTGACACATTAGGTAGGTCATCATTTTGTGTTATTTAACACTAATATCCCATAATAAGCACCTCTGAATCCTGTGCTTATTCTATATTTCAAATGCTCACACGATTTACAGTAGTGAGGAATTGGCTGGGAGAGGCACCATGTCCTTTAGGAATAGAAAATGTGCTGATGTATTAGAAACCACTGAATGAGCAAGTAGCATTACCATCTGCATAATCCACTACAGATTCATGAAAGAAATAAAGCTACTTCCTAATTGATGATCACTAAAGTAACTTCTTGGTGGAGGAGTTCAAAACAGGGGCTGAAGGACAGTGAGCTATCAGAAGGCAATTGCCTGGGTGACGGACAGCACCAGGTCTTATTAAGGGAGACGTTTCATAGGTGCATTCATCCAGACAGAAGAGGCCAGCTTATAGGCACTGCCAAGAATCTACCTCTTCAATCAAAAACTAACAAGAGGGAGCTGACAGAGAAAATGCCTATTAAATATAGAGCCAACAATTAGTATTGGAAGCCAAGAGCTGTTTGAGTACACTTGGTGGGTCTCCTGCAGGGCGGTCAGTTAGCTCTGTTTATTAAAATGAGACTTAGGTCAAGGTTCCTGGGCCTGAACAACGAAGCGGAGAGTTCCTGTTCTGGTTTTAAAGTTATGGAGCAGAAAATTAAAAAAAAAAAAAAAAAAGACTACAGCATTATAAAAACAACACAGAGAATGAATTGTCATGGATCAGTGAGGGCAGTGGCTATTAAGCTTGTTTACCATGAATCCTAGGATGTTCCAACTTCTATAGACTCGTAGGATAAACCAATAAGCTCCAGCTCCTTTTATCCTACTCCTTTTGTAGAACCAGAAATCTAGCAAGCACGACAAAGGGGTGTTCAAAGGGTAAAATATGCCTTTAGCATCTTCCATTCTGTTTGTACTCCTGTTAGGAATATCCTCTGAGCTGTCTGTCAAGGCTATGAGCTCTGATAAGACCATGGTTTGCATCAAGAGAAAGAGTAAGTCTCCATGCCCACTGTTTCACCTGTTCTCCATTACTCTCAGATAGCATATCGGGAGGCCTCAGAGTTCCTACAATTCTTGCTGCTCCTTCATTCTCCTGAGGCCACCAAGAAAGTCACTCCTGGCAGGAATATTTCTGCCTGCTCCCAAGAGAGACATCCTCTCCAATAACTCCCCAAGTTTCCAAGTTTCACAAACATACTGTATCCAGTTTTAGATTTTCTGTTCCTGACCACAATCACAATGTCAAGTAAGCATACAGACATTTAAAGAAAAAGAGAAAAGCTTGGAGATACAAAGAAAAAGAGGTTATTATTTTTCACTTAGCTCCTTACGAAGGACTTCCTCACCAACACATTTTTAAATATACAATATCAATATAAATTTTAACGTTGGAAAATGACTTTTGCTTTGAACTCATCTAGTGCTATGGCTTCTTATTCTGGCTGAGAAACAGCCTTGGAGTTGGAGCTGATGTACCAGTATTTCTCTGTGGATCCATTTCCTCTGGAAAACCCCAACATTGCTTACCTCTGGAATGTACTGCTTCGGGATCCCACGGAGTCTGCAGTAGTATTGAAGATGTTCCCAACCAGTCAGGAGCTCATCTAGGGCATCCTGCTGTGGACAGTAGCCAATGAGAATGCCCACTTTACCAGCAGAAGCCAGGTCTACCATATCTCTGCAAACATAAGTAAAATATGCTTTGAAATGCATATCACGAATACGTATCAACCCATCTCTTAAATCTGGCGCATTAATAGCTCTCTTCATATACTTCATATAGCTATCTGGTTTTGCAAAAATACTTAAACCTAATAACAAGTGAAAGGTACCAAAAAAATTTCCACAACAAAATATGGATCTTGGCACATGAACTATTAAGCTAAAGGTAACTGGAAACAAGAGCTAAAAACACCCCCCTTTCTAAAGGACATGCCTACTTAAAAAGATATCACCACACTTGCTACTTACAGGAACTGCTATGATCACCTAAAAACATAAGGAGAGGAGAATAATTTTCCAGATACTTCCTCACCTTCCCAGAACTCACCTCCCCACTAAAAGTTCCAAAGCCCTTTCCATTTGATAAAAACCTGTGTATAAGTCTCATTCTTCTAATTCATCAACTGATCCTTCCTACCATTCCTTCTCTCTGTTCTCTTTCTCTGTCTTGCTCTCCATTTTTCTCTGTATAATTGTATATAATACATATTTTTTTGTGAAACTCTTGTTTTTATATATTCAATCAAATATGCTTGAGTTTAATTTCCAGGCTCTAGCAGAGAACCTAAGACAGAAGAGTGCAAAACTGTTTCTTCTCCTTCACAGAGGTAACCATGAGCCCAACACACACACACACACACACACACACACACACACACACACACACACACGTGTGTGTGTGTGGGGGGGTGCATGCGCACGTGTCTGTCTATGGGTATGTATGTGTGTGTGCATATGTGTGCATATTTAGGATAGTGTGTGCCTCATAAACGGCTATTACAGAAGTATTCCCCCAAAGAAACTATTGTAAATAATGGATTAATCCTTAAAATTTCAGTTGAACACTTTACAAACAACTGTACATAACTTTCACTGAGTATATGAAGAGTAGAAAAAAAAAAGAGTTAATTGGCCCAATTGCAAAGCTCATCACAAGTTTTTATCTTTTTGTTCTCCTTCTCAATCTGTTCCCATGGATTGCAGCTGATACCGGCATGAGAAACTTGCTATGGCTGGTATTAACAACTTAGTCCAGAATTCATGACAGGTTTGTACTTTGTGCTGTAGTTTTATGTTATAACACACCAAATCAAGTGCCCGCCATTTACAGGACCACGAAAACTAATTCCCCCCACTTAAAGTCTGATGAACCCCCTTCCAGTCTTCCTGACAAACTTCAGAGACACTGGGGTTCTTGTGCTCTGACTTTTCCTATGACAGACCCTCACAGAGTTGAAGGAACACATGGAGAATGTCCTGGCTTCTTTAAACAAAGTACATATTAATTTACTTCATGCTCTCCTAGATGTAGGTGTAGGCCCCAAGTTTATGCATTGAAAGCTCATCTTGCAAGTAATGGTACTCAGAGGTGGCTCTTTTGAAAGGAGGATTATGTCATAAACATAGAGATATCAAAAAAAAAAAGAGTAAGTGATTGTTCTGTTTAGTAAGAACTGATTTGAATTAAAAATAATGAAGAAAGAGGTCATTAATTTCAAAAATAATAATAAAGGGGTACTTGGGGGACCTGGGAGCAGAAATGCTGTCCTAATATTCTAATCTCAAAAATGGAAAAAAAGTAGAAGTAAATGAAACATATAGGCATTGAGAAAGTGCTACTACTGAGGGTGTCTTTGAGAGTCTTTTCAGAAAAACCTGGCTCAAGGAGGCACAAGAGGATACCCTCCCACCTGCTCGAGGGCTAGACAAAACAAAAGGACAGAAGAAAGCAAATTCACCTTTCCCTCCCTCCCTCCCTCTTTTCTTTCCTAACTCTCCAAGCTCTCTCCTTCTCCTCCTTCCCTCTCTTTTCCCCTTCCTCTTTTCTTTCATCTTCCTCTTTCCTTGTCTCTTCCCATTTCCCCTTCCTACCCATTATTTTCTTCCCAGAGCTAGTATACCCTTTTCCTTCTACCCCTGGGCATAAGAGCACTGTGAGAACATGCTTGACTTTAGACTGCTGAAGTAGAACCAGCTGCTCACTGGGTTTTCAGGTGAGAACTACAACATCCATCTCCCTGGCTCTGGGTTTGAGAACTGGAACTGAATGGTGCTGGTGGTTCCCCCGAGTCTCCACTCTATGAATGGCAAGTGGTTTGTTGTAGAACTTCTCAGGCTCCACAATCACATGAGCAAATTCCCCTAAGTGAATACATCTCTCTTTCTTCCCTTCTTCCCCTTCCTTCCCTACCATACATTCTCTCTGGAAAATGCTGACTTGTTTATTATCCTTACAAAGTATGACTGAGGGAACTCATAGTCAGTTTTTCCTTCTACCATGGGAAGACGGAGCAATGAAGCCTCATTGCTGTAGCAGACAGTCTTCACCTGACCCAAATCTGGTAGGACCTTCCTCTTCCTCTAGTGTACGATAATACTGTTTGTTACACAGTGATTTTCATGACATGTGTTTATTCATTACTCACTATTGCATAGAAAATGAGATTGTCAAGGAGGATGTCCTCTTTAATTTGTAATATAATAAACAATAAATATATTTTATGTCATACCACACCACAGGATTTGTTTTTCTCATGCACAAATGAAAAAGTTGAATGAAAATTCAAGTTTTAAGTATCCCTACATATTGAGCTACTAGCTTGGGAAATATACATATCCATAATAATAGTTCATGTGTGTTATCCATAGTTGCAAGCATATTATTTTAAATTCATTATCAAAGATGAGGCCACCCTGAGCTTTAGTTTTTTTTGGAAAGTTTAAAAAGTTTTACAACTGGAAGAAAAAAATCAAATCCTTAATTAAAACTTTTCAGAAAAGTGTTGGCCCATGAAACATAGTACAACTGGATCAAATGCAGGACACATCCAGGGAAAGTTTAGCAATGACTGGAATACATCAAAAAAATAAAATAAAATAAAGAATAAAAAAAAAAAGAAAAAAAAGATGTTAAATACTGATGGCCTTTCCCACTTAACCATATCAAAGGTGCTGTAACATTGATTATCGTATTTACATTTAAAAAGGCAATGTGTTAACATAATGCAATTGCCAAAAAAAAGACAAAACAAACAAACAAACAAACAAAAACCCTTTAAAATCCCAGGTTACGTTTTTAGGGGGAAAAAAACAAAAAACAAAAAACAAAACAAAACAAAACAAAACAAAAAAAAAACGTATCTCCAAACCTTTAACTACACTTGCCAAGAAAAAAATTCATGACTAAAATTGCAACATACATTTCTATTAAGACATAGAAACAGAAAATGTTATAATAAGTTAGTATGACATGGGGAGGATAGGAGCTCCACAAGGACCAAATATATCTGGGCACAGGGTCTTTTCTGAGACTGATACTCCACCAAGGACCATGTATGGATATAACCTAGAACCTCTGCTCAGATGTAACCTGTGGTAGCTCAGTAATCAGTTGGTTTTCCCTAGTAAGGGGAACAGGGACTATTTCTGACATGAACTCAATGGCAGGCTCTTTGACCTCCCCACCCCCCAAGGGAGGAGTTTTCAGGAGGACTTTGCAGCCAGTCCTGAAGATACCTAATAAAACAGGGTCAAATGAAAGGGAAGGAGGTCCTCCCCAATCAATGGACTTGGAAAGGGGCAGGGAGGAGATGAGGGAGGGAGGGTGGGATTGGGAGGGAATGAGGGATACAGCTGGGATACAGAGTTAATAAAATATAACTAATAATAAAAATAAAAAATTTCAGTATGTTGATAATGCCAACATACACTCACAGAGGAGATGAGAAATACTCCAGTTTATGAGCCTGATAAAAAGGCATGGAGGTGTATATGACATCCTTGATGGTTGCAATGGTTCACTCAGTACCTGTTCGGTTTAAGTTTTAAAATAAAACAGTTTTGTTTTTGAAAAAAAAAGAAAGAAAGGAAGGAAGGAAGGAGGGAGGGAGGGAGGGAGGGAAGGAGGGAGGGAGGGAGAAAGGGAGGGAGGAAGGAAGGAAGGAAGGAAAGAAAGAAAGAAAGAAAGAAAGAAAGAAAGAAAGAAAGAAAGAAAGAAAGAAAGAAAGGAAGGAAGGAAGGAAGAAAGAAAGAGTACAAGCATCCTTGTGAGGGAAAATCTATATGAGATGAGCAGTTACCTGAGCACAAATAAATCACTGAATATGTCCAAATTAGAAAGAATAAGCCTTAACAAACGCACAATGAAGTAAGTTAAAACAAGTACTTATAAAATTGCCCATAATGCAACCCAAAACCAGATAATTTCAGTAGTGAGAACTAGTAAATGTTTTAAGATTAACATCAATTCTTCACAGTCTTTTTCAAACAAAGAAGAGATAAGTACAACTCTGAATTAATTTCAGAAGAATCATAACAGCCTGGTAATGAACCCAAAAACATGAGAAGAAAAGAAAACTTCAATTTATTAGACTACAGACATACAATTTCTTACAAAATATACATTCTTATCAACTAACAATGAGGTTATGCCCCAGTAAACTCAACATGAACTAAAAATATCATAAATCATAAATGTTTTCACTCCCAACTGTGTTTACACATTTCTGTAATTTTAGCCCTTCAGAAGTAAAATCAAGACAGTAATGAGCTCAAAGCTAACCTGGGCTATATATCAAGTTCAAGGCTATTATAAGGAGATTCTGTTGCAGAAGGAAAAGAAGTGGGGGAGAAGCATTACTACTTTTCAATTGCTGAATGAATGAATGAATGAATGAATGAATGAATGAATGAATGAATGAACATTATAGCTCCAACTGGTCTACCTTAAACTTTCTTAGGACTCAAATTAGCTTACAGTTGAACACAGTGGGAATATTATTACTGCATATTACTAGCCTTAGAAGAGATGAAAATTCAAGGTACAGTTTATAACTAATGGATATATCTTTCCTACCATCATAGAGGTGAAAAACTGCTTAGACTCTCATACATCAAAAATTTATGTGTATAAGGAAATCAAATCCAATAAAAATGAGGATATAATACATTTAATAT